TCAAAACAAAAAAAATTCTGCAGTCAGCCTGGCCAGAAGCAACACACACACACACACACACACACACACACACACACACACAAACAATCTTTCTGAAAACATCTCTTAAATGGTCAATTGCTTAATCCCAGGGTAAAGGAAAGCATCACTTAGATATATTCTATATGTCTGTTTTCTCTTGATACGTGAGTTAAAGCCTACTTCAGCATCTATTTATAGGACAGGCACCTTAGCCTTATTTTTGTCACGTTAATATCGTGTTTCTCCTTCTGTTTTGTGACTTTGGAGAAGCTAAAACTATGTGGTCTATTATCATTGCTTCTGTAAGTAACTCTCAGATTTCAGAAGGGTTGCTGGTTTTTATGAGTTTTGATTGGTTTGTCAGCTGCTTCCTGGTATGAGGTGTCTTAGTTAGTGCTATTATTACTGTGGTGAAAAACCCTAACCAAAAATCAAGTTGTGGAGGAAAGGGTTTATTTGACTTACACTTCTACACTATAGTCCAACATTGAAAGAAGCCAGGACAGGAACTCAAACAGAGCAGGAGCCTGGGGGCAGGAGCTGATGCAGATGCCATGGCTTCTTCAGCCTGCCTTCTTATAGAACCTAGAGCTGGGCCCTCACCCATCAATCACTAATTAAGAAAATGCCTTATGCCAGGCGTTGGTGGTGCACACCTTTAATTCCAGCATTTGGGAGGCAGAGGCTGGCGGATCTCTGTGAGTTTGAGGCCAACCTGGTCTACAGAGTGAGTTCTAGGACAGAAAAGAAAGGAAGAAAGAAAGAAAGAAAGAAAGAAAGAAAGAAAGAAAGAGAGAGAGAGAGAGAGAAAGAAAGAAGGAAAAAAGAAAAGAAAAGAAAAAAAGATTTTAAAAAAATGCCTTACACCTAGATCCTATGGCTTATGCAGGCCATTTTCTCAGTTACTCTAGCTGTGTCAAGCTGACATAAAGCTATTCAGCACACTGAGGATGGCAATGGAGGCCTCCTGCACACTGACAAGTATCCTACTATTGAACTATATGCAGTTCCAGCTTTTGGAATATTGTAATCTTTGTTCCACTTATTACTTTTGTAATTGAATTGATATCTCTATTTTCCTATCGTTAAGCAGCTATCTATTTGCTCATCACAATGAACAATGAAAGCTTAAGTGCATCTTTCTCTTCTCCCTTTCCTTTCCTCTTTCACCCAATGTTAGCCAACAACATTTTCCTCACAGTTACAATGTTTATTCTCGGGGTTGGAAGCATAGCTAATGGTGAGGCTTATGTACGAGGCAGGCAACGGTTTCAGTTCCTGGAGAATGAGAAGTCCAGGACCTGGTGTATTTGGCATCTGGTAAGGGCTGCTCCCATGGTGGGGGGCATGAGACCAGGCCACGAATCCCATTCATGAAGGGAAGACTTTAAGGCCAACTTTCTGTAACACTGGTGATAAGACTTCAACATGCAAGTTTTGGAAGGACAGAAACATTGAGATACTAACACATTAACACCAATACTTTTTTTTTTTTCCGAGACAGGGTTTCTCTGTGGCTTTGGAGGCTGTCCTGGAACTAGCTCTTGTAGACCACGCTGGTCTCAAACTCACAGAGATCCAGCTACCTCTGCCTCCCGAGTGCTGGGATTAAAGGCGTGCGCCACCAACGCCCGGCTTAACACCAATACTTACACAACAAGAATTACACATGAATCAGTTAATACACACCCATAATTATTCAAATACCCACAGTTACCCTGAGAATGTTTTTAGATACGTTTTCAATTCAGTAACCACTCAATGATTATGTCTCAATTCCTTTTATTCTAGAAAAGGCCTCCTCTGATTTTGTTTCATTGACCTTCTATTTTCAAGAACGCATGTTGAGGGCAGGTGAAGTCACAGGTAAAGCATTTGATGCACCAGCTTCATGGCCTGAGGCTGACCCCTGGAAATCACACAGACATGAAAGGAGAGAACTGGTCCCACGAGTTGTCCTCTGGCCTCCACACACATGCCATGTGCACACACACAAATAATAAGTGGATTCATTTTACTTTCTTAAAAAGCACATGCCAGTTTTGGTTGGTTGGTTGGTTGGTTGGTTTGGTTTTGATTTTCCAAGGCAGGGTTTTGATGCATAGCTCTGGCTGTCCTGGCACTCACTCTATAGACCAGGCTGGCCTTGAACTCACCGAGATCCACCTGCCTCTGCCTCCCAAGTGCTGAGAATAAAAGTGTGCACCACCACCACCTGGCCTCCAATTATTTTTCATTAAATGCCCTGTGATCTAAAATTGTTTCTTTATATTTCATTTCATTATTTCCATATATTTCATTTCTTTCCTTTTTCTAGCATTTATAATTCCAGCTGGGTCTAAAGACTAGTTAGACTTGGATTCAACACTGTGCCTGTAATGACGTCTTATGTTTCATATAATAGGAGTCACGTAACAAGAGTCAGTAATTCCTAACTTAAACTGGTTACAGTAACTGCCCAGGTTCTCAGTGCATACCTTCCCACTATAATTAATGATTTATCTGTAGGGGAGACCCTATCCCATGTGAACATCCTAATCACCAACCACACCCCCCCACCAAGAGTTTTAGCATCTATTGGTAATGTTCACTTTCATCAATTACTACATTAGATGGCTGTAATCAGGTGGTCTTTTTTCTGATATTTGATTTGGGTCTAGATCAAAGTGTGACCAGTGTTAAAATTCAGTTGCATAGTGCTGGCATTTTCCTGATGCAGTCTTCAGTTGTTAGCCTTTGCTACTCTTTTAGCGTCTAAGTATGTTCAATTGGGAATTTTGCATTCCTGGTCGTTGAACAGATGAGTGATTTGCATGTGCCTCTGTCACTGTGGCTGGCTTTCCATGCAACTGCTGAGAATTGTGTGACTCTGGGTGGAGCCCCAGGTGATGAGTGATGGTGCAGAGGTGGAGTTTCCCATTCAGAGATGCAATTTGCTTTCCCCTCCCTCAAACTGGGATGCACTCAGCTATCTTTTAAGGGAAGAATTATTCATTTCACAGTTTCCAAGGTTTTAGTCTTTCAATGCAAGCAGAGCACTCAAATCATGGCGGCCAGGAAGCAGAAGGCATGTCTGTGTTTGTTGGCTTTCCCCAAAGGGAGAAAGCAGCCTCCTTCAGGCCACCCTCAATGTTCCAGAATGGCCAGCATCCCCACAGAATGGCTAGCACACACCCCCACACAGAATGGCTAGCATGCTCACAGAATGGCTAGCATCCCCACAGAATGGCTAGCACCCCCCACAGAACGGCTAGTATCCCCACAGAATGGCTAGTATCCACATGCACTGCCCAGCACTCTAACCACCCTTCTCTTGAGACCAGTCCAACTCAAACATCAGGAAAGCATTCACATCAAAGGCTCTCTAAGGGGAAAGGATGTCAGTCTCATGTCACCCACGCCAGTGACCATTCTATGCACTGCACAGCTCCACGGAGCAGCTGCCTCATGGGCATGATATGGGATGTATGGACTATTTTCGAATCCTCATCTATGCAGGATTCCAGAGGCCACCAATAACATTGTCCAAGAGCCTCTCGCTGTCTTTTTTTTTTTTTTTTAGTTTACTTAAAATATGCATATGGGGAGGTGTTCATGTTAGTATGGGTGCCTGTGGAGGCCAGAAGAGGGCATCAGATCCTTTGAAGTTGGAGTTACAGGTGGTTTAAGCCTCCTAACGTGGATGCTGGGAACCAAACTTGGGACCCTTACAGAAGTAGTATACGAAGGAACTCTCGTTTTCAAGTAGTTACACCAAGCCAAAAGTCTGTCACTATCCCCAACCTAGGCCTAATCACACTAGTTGTGGTGGCTCGCACCAATAAACCCTGCATGGGAAAGGATGAGACAGGAATGTCACAGATTCAAAGTCAGTGTAGGCTACATAGTAAGACCTTATCTCAAAACCAAAAGAAAGTGACCATAAGCCTTGCCACAGATCTCAGCAATTAGGAATGTACAAGGCCCCTACCAGATCCTGTGGGCTCCAACCAGCCAAGAGAGAACTGCTTCTGAAAGACCCACTCTATCCCACCCCTGAGAGGGAGGGAGGCGTGTCGTGCAGGACAGCCACACCCACCTCTTTGATGCTACTGATATTGCATGCTTCAAACCTGGCTTCCAGCTTGAGACACATAGGCTCAGCATCCAAAAGTAGAGCCGCCAAGAGCTCAGCAAGAAAAGACTGATCTTCCTACTCACAAGTTTCTCAAGCCTCAGGTGCCTTAGGTGCCAGCTCATCTCCACAGCCAGAGTTCCCTCTGGGCTCTGCTTTGCATAGTCTCCAGTCTTCCAAGAATCCAACCACACTCCAGAAAGTTCTTCCCTCTGGAGGTAAGGAAGCCTTTCAGGGATTCACTGTGCCCCCTACACACACACCCCAGCAGGACACATATGGTCCAGGTATGGGCACAAAACAAAGTCTCATGGGAGGAAAAGCTGTGGAAACATCCCCTCCTGGAGGCAGCAACACCACATACCCCTATACCGTCCTGCTGATCTCGGGCTCTGCCTATGTGAGGGAACCAAAGGTAGCACAGTCCCTTTCACTTGGGGACAAATGATGACTAACTGGGCACGAGGAGGGCACCTTCCCAGGCAAACAACCTGAGGCAACAGGAACTGAGCTGGAAGGGAAGAGGGAAAGGTTGGTTGCAGGTCTCAGAAAGCTAGAGAAGCATGCTCAGCAGAGGTCAGAGGAGAGGATCAACCCTGGCCTGGGTATGAGTGGCACCCAGCAGGCACAGAGGTCAGGGAACTTGAACAAGGTAGGGGATCCAGGGAGATAAGGCTGTGGCTCTCCTCCCTTTGGAGTCATAGCCAGAGCAATGGTTCTGCAGATTGCATAATCTTTTATTTACCCACAGCTACATTTTGTCCAGAAACTCTATCCTGAAAGGAAACTAAAGAAAACATTCAGCAAGCACTGGGCAAGGAAGGCCAGCAGCAAAGAACAAGGGTGGTCCCCGCCGTGCCAGAGGATGGAGGTACACAATGTAACGGTCCCATTAAATTTCTCTCTGCCGCCTGGCTTTGGCCACCGCCCCACAGACAAGGCGCTGAGTGTTATCCTAGTGATCATGCTGCTATTTGTCATGTTCTCACTCGGCTGCACCATGGAGTTCAGCAAGATCAAGGCTCACTTGTGGAAGCCCAAAGGGGTGGTCATTGCCATGTTGTCCCAGTATGGCATCATGCCCCTCGCTGCCTTTGTCCTGGGCAAGGCCTTCCATCTGAAACCAATTGAGGCACTGGCCATCCTCATCTGTGGCTGCTCTCCCGGGGGAAACCTGTCCAACCTCTTCACCCTGGCCATGAAGGGAGACATGAACCTCAGGTAAGACTCGGGGTTAGGAGGGAGGGGTGTGGGATTGGGTGAGGAGGGGATGTCATAATCTGGGGAAGATCTGGGCTGGAGCCAGGAAAGGGGGAAGTAGGAGTTGGATTAAGGTTGGTGTTTATAGTCAAAGGCTTATGCTAAGTTGGGGCAGGCTCTGGAGTCTCTTTGGTTTAAGTACCAAGTGAAAAGTGCCGAGCTGGTCCAGAGGTATTAAACACCCCTGAATTCATAAAAGTATCTCAAGGATTGCTTTAAAGGAATGCAGATTTCAACCAGAGTCTCTGAGAACTGAAGCCACCTAACTGTGTGACAGGGAGTTGGCTCTGAAGCTGAAAATCTAGAAGGGACATAAAGGGTTCTGCACATTCCAGGGAGACCAAGGTGACTTGGGACCAAATGAACATCACAAATCCCTGCAGAGAAGAGACTCCAAAGGCTCTCCCCCAGTTTCTGGCCATTTAAGGTATGCCAAGACCCTTCACCCCCAGTGTCTGGGTATACGAGGTAAACTAAGACCCTTCACCCAGTTGTCAGAGACCCTTCATCCTGTTGTCAGATGTAGTGAGATTGCCACCAGAAGACACCTCAGGTGAAAATGAGGTCCCAGCACTTGCCCGGGTTAGGCAGCGCCCCACTCAGTCTAACAAGCAGAGAGAAAGCCAACAACAGCCTGATCTCAGAGCATCCTAACCAGAAACCAGCAAGGTCCCTCCCCAAACAGCCTGACTCCTCCGGCTTGCAAAGTTATCTGTCCTTCACACAGGTATGACTGTTGCGGTCAATGCCTACCAGAGGAGGCCCTCTGGGCCTGCTTGGGCCATCGTGCCATGGCTGAGCTCACTAGCCCAAGCAAAGCTTAAGCCAGTCTCCTCTGAATCTGTCCTTAGTAGAGATGCTCAATCTCAGGTGATGCAGGGAACCCAGAGCCTATCTGCTTGGGCCCATGTGCATCCTGCCTGTGAATGAACTTTAGAGAGAAAACTAACCAAGGAGCCTCTCCTAGTGAGGCAACACTAGTGCAACTGGGGGAAGGGGCAAGGCTTGTCACACCTATGTGTCCCAAGAAATCCAGGTTAAAAGTCAGCTCTGATGCAGAAGAAATTTGAGTCACAGTAGTCAGAGAAGGGGCACTCTGAGGGGATCTGTGTAGCTGTGGAAGTGACAGAACAGGACAGGAATGGGGCTGGGGACCACATGAAGGACAACGGGTGAGTTGTTTTTTTTGTTTTTGTTTTTGTTTTTCAGTACCTCGAACCCTTTATTACTGAGGTCTTGAATGCATTTTGTTTAGTGCCATTTAATATTTTTTTCTTTTTTGTTTTATTTGAGTTACAAACACGATTGAATTACATGACAATCCCAGTTCCCTTCTCCCTCCCATCCTCCCCTACCCCCCCCCCAACTAAAACCCTACCTATCACATATCCTTTCTTCTATTCTTCCCCTGACTCAACCTTTCTGCTCCCTCATGACCTCTGCATCCCTCCTCTTCTTCCATTCTCATGCTTGTAGCTCCCTCCCCCATCTTCCCATGCTCTCACTTTGCTCAGGGGATCGTGACCCTTTCCCCTTCTCCAGGGGACAAAGTTTGTGTCTTTTAGGGTCCTCCTTGTTTACTAGTTTCTCTGGCAGTGTGGATTGTAGGCTGGTAATCCCTTACTCTATGTTTAAATTTTAATATTTTTTATATATTTGAATTACAAACAAGATTGAATTACATGACGACCCCAGTTCGCTTCTCCCTCCCTTCAACGGGTGAGTTTTTAAGGGTAACCAAGGGTCCCATTCTCACCAACTGGTGGCTGCTACTGAGTCCTCTCCAACATTAGCTGCTCTATAAGATTTCCCACTATACCCAGCTCGTGGTGAGATCAAGAGCATGGCCCCTGGGCTCTGCTGCTTGCTCAACCTCTGGTTCCAAGTTCCAGACTCAGCCATGGGTGTTGATATGGCCACCTTCTGTCAAAGTCCCTTCCTCCCAAACAAACCTGCCCTACTCATACACATTAACCATGCCTCAGATCCCACTGGCTGAGTGTGAATATTACCCTCATGCCCTGCCAGATTTTGAATGCCAGTTGTCCTGAGAATTCCTACATGTATTACAGCAATGACAGTGGTGGTGGGAACTTGCACTAAACATTCTTTTCAGCAAAGTCAAATTTTAAACTTATTGTATGCCTGCATAAAGGTTTGGCCTGCATATATGCCTCTGCACTACATGTGCACTCGGTGCCCAAGGAGGCCAGAAGAGGGCACTGGATTCCCCTGGGACTAGAATTGTAGGTGGTTTTGAGCTGCCATGTGGATTCTAGGACTCACACCCAGGTCCTCTAGAAGAGCAGCCAGTGCTCATAACCACTGAGCCATCTCTGCAGCCCACCCCCACAAAGTCCCATTTTATTCTCTTAATACCCTTGTTGTCCACTGTATACATCCTGCAGTGGTCCTTGTTTTGGTGGCAGACGTGGATGGGTACTTACAAGGCGGAGTGCTATAACTGACCACATTCACAGATGAGGAAACAGTCTTAGAACTTAACACCTTTGGACAGGCTGGCTGGCTGCAGAGCTGGTGCATCTACTCACATGTCTGTCAAGCTAGCCTGTTCCTTGACTGAGTGAATGGAGGCTGCCCGCCAGGCTCAAAGATGCTGGCCTCTCTAATCGGACATGAGTATTGTACAGGAGGGGAATGCAGTCATCACAGTTCCCTGCCTTTCTTTTTTAAGGATTTTTTATTTTATATGTCTGAGCATTTTCCTACATGTATATAAGCACACTGTGTGCATGTCCTGGAGCACATGGAGGCCAGAAGACTGTACTGGATCCCCTGAAACTAGAGCCATAGACAGTTGTGAGTCACTATGTGGATGCTGGCAATCAAACCCTGGATGTCTGGGAAGAGCAGCCAGTGCTTTTAACAACTGAGCCACCACTCCAGCCCCAAGCTTTCTGCTGCTGCTTCTTTCCCCCCACCCTTTGAAGCCTATCCTGGCACTCGCTCTGGAGACCAGGCTGGCCTCGAACTCACAGAGATCCTCCTGCCTCTGTCTCCTGAGTGCTGGGATTAAAAGCACGAGCCACCAACACCTGGCACTTTCTGCTTCTTGAGAGAAGATTGAATCTCCTTTTTTTTTTTTTTTAGTTGAGCAATATTTTTTATTTTAGAAACAATCTTATTTTACATATCAATCCCAGTTCCCTCTCCCTCCCACCCATGCCCTCCACCAACCCCCCAAACCTACTCCCCACTCACTCCCCAAGGATAGTGAGGCCTTCCATGGGGGAATCATCAAAGTCTGTCATATCCTTTGGGGGAGGGTCTAGGCCCTCTTTCATGTATCTGGGCTGCAATATTACCCCTCCATAGGGAATGGACTCCCAAAGTCTATTTGTGCTCTAGGGATAAACACTGGCTCCACTGTTAGAGGTCCCATAGACTACCCAGGCCTCATAGCTGGCACACATATTCAGAGGGCTTGGTTAGGTCCAATGCTGGTTCCCCAGCTTTATGACTAGGGTCTTTGTGCCCTCACTAGGTCAGGTCAACTGTTTCTGTGGATTTTGAGTCTCCATTTTTAGGTGAAATCTCCAAAATTTCAAACATCATCCGAATGCATCTACAAGGCTGTGCAAACCAAGCAGTGTCTAAGGGCCAGATGTGGCCCCGCTGTCTACTTTGAGGCCTCTATTTAAGCTCACTATGTTCTACTTAAGAGTTAGAAGTAAATGGTGAGGAGGTAGACAGACAGCTCAGTGGTTAAGAGCACTGACTCTTCTTCCAGAAGATGTGGGTTCAATTCCCAGCACCCATATGGCAGCTCACAACTGTCTGTAACTCCAGCTCTAAGAGATCAGACACCCTCCACAAACTTAAATACAGGCAAAACACCAATACACATGATAGAAAAGTAAAGACATAAATAAGAAGATAAGTTTTTAAAAAAACAAAAAAGAACTAAAGGGTAAGACTTATTGTTCCATTTTACTTGCTAGGAAATGGAAGTAAAGAAACCTGCCAATATCTCCTAAGAGCTGAGCAAAAGAGGGGTCAGAGCCCTCTCCCATGGTTATTCTGTCTTCAAAATGATTTAAGTCTGAGGGGGGACACCAGACAGCCAGGCATGACAGCTTTCTAGAGGAAGTGAACTTGTTAGGAACAGCCTTGACTCTTGCCATCCTCAAGCTCCTCTGATCCCTTTAACCTGCTGGTCCCAAAACAGAGCCCAGTGGCCAGGCAGACAAAAGGCCTGGACACCACCCCAGGATCCTTACAAGTTCCCCACTATGACACAGGAAGCCATTGTGATTCCTACACATTTCCCACTTCACCATGGGGACTGGATGGTCACTTCACAGTGTCCTCAGCTTGTGCCTCTGATCTTTCTACTCCTTTCCAATTTACAAATTTAAAAAAAAAAAAAGGAGGGCCTGTGCAATGAGCTCATTCTTAATCAAGAAGGGGTTGGGAGCAGTGGTGAATATCTGCCATCCCAGCAGGTGGCTGAGGGGGGGAAATGCTTGAGAGTCCGTCTCAAATAAAAGAACTTGGAAGTAAGCCTGATGTGGTTGCACAGGCCTGTAATGCCAGCATGTGGAAGGTGAAGGCAGAAGGTGTCAGGAGTTCAAGGTCACCCTCCACTACACATGGAGTTATAGGTTATATAAGGTCCTGCCTAAAAAAAGCAAAAACAAACAAGAAAGAAGACTGGAAACACAAATCTGCCATCCCATCTTAACCAGACCCAAGGTCCACAGTGTTGCAATAGTCCCAATCTTAGAAGCTAGAATCTGCAGGTCACCTCCCAATCGGGATCCTTCATGGTAAACTGAGGATCACAGCAGTCACAGGTGGCAGCAGGTCGGGAATGGATACCAGTATCTGTGATTGTGGAGGAAAATGCCTGAGATTCTGGGAACACAGCTCTACACATCTAAGGGGCAAGGCACACAAAGTCCCAGAATACACTCTAGAACTCCTGACACAAAACCAGA